ATACCTTGAATTGTAAATTTTTCTGACATTGAAATTGGTTTATACTATCACCATATCATGTAATGTAATTCAGGAAATCTGATTGGGTGCCATATCATGAAATGTAAATTCAAGCAATCTGATTAGTTGCTATACTATGTGGTGTAAATTCAAGCAGTCTGATTGGTTGCCATAATGTGTGATAAAAATACAATCTATCTGATTAATTGCAATGTCACATGATACAAATTCAAGCTATCTGATTGGTTGCTATACTATATGTGATGTAAATTGAAGCAGTCTGATTGGTTGCCATACCATTTTAAAAAGGTCGGTGACCCATTTTATTTGTAGCGAATGCTGTTCTGTACAACCCCTCATTATCTACACTTCAAACAAAATGACCAAGTTTTCTATATTCTAAAGGATCATGTTTTACTTTTTCATCATGTATTAACTGCGTAATATCAGCATACTCTTTTCTCAAAAACTAGGTAACTTGATTTTTTATATTAATATCCTTAAATACATTTGAATACAACACAATACATTTTCCTATTCTATCACCCTTTTTCTGATTGTTTTTTGTGTCACTTTATAAACAAAATACTCTCATGAAATTGTAGTTTTAAATTTTTAGTTTTACAAATTCATGAGAGAAAAATATTATGCACAAATTTATGAATAAAGCATAGAAAGCACAAAAATACAATAGAGAAATGCTGCTGGCTGAAATCTTTTTCACACTGATTAAAGAAATATAATCAGTAACACTGGTTTGGAAAATCCCGCTGGCAAGGATTATTTGAATTCACTAATACATTTATGAATATTTTGTTGCCACTTGACAGTTTTTGACTAGTTTCATATTTCTAAAGTAATAAGAGACCGAATTTATTACAGTATTCATAGCCACAGCATTCACTGCCAGATCCACTGAATGTTTGGTGTAAACACAAATCTTTGTATTATACTTATAAGTGCCGTAACGACATTTCACAATTCTAAAATATTTCAAAATTATAATCAAAATAATAATGTGAAGTTGATTTTCAGTATTATTAATGGTCAGAAAAACAAAAAAAATTACACAAAATCAAAAATGACAAATCTTACTTGAGAGTCTAACCAATTTTGTCTGGTACAGTTGGTGACCCAGATAGAATGTTACCGCTGAATTGCCTAATCAGGTCTATGTCAAACCACCGAACATAAAAAGTGATCATTTCTAATCCCATGAACTTTCTTCATGAAAGAAACAACAATATTCTTAATTATAACATCTTAAAATGTATTGCTCAAGAGAACAATAATTTCAATTTATCTAAAATAATGAATAATTTATCTAAAATAATGAATAATTTATCTAAAGGTGAAACACCATGCATATGGGTGTAAGTGACACAAGCAAGTTACTCTATCCTACAGCAAGTTATTGCTAATGACATAGTCCCTGTTTGTATTACAGGTGTAAGATAATGCATGACTACTGAGGTCATATCCATGAAATGGGGCAATATGTACGAGATATGGCTCTTTGGAACAGCATTTGTTTGAACAAGATGGTCGTCAATCCAGCATTTTTTTTTTTTTTTATTGATGGTGACAAAAATGTAAAGTGCATTTGTCCGATATAATGTCTTATGTATGTGTGAAGTTTGAACTTGATCGGTCCATGCATATTGTGTTCAATGTATGTACCAAGTTTAAATCGAATCTGTCTACATATAGACTCACCCAGGGCACAGTGAGTTTGACCTCCCAATTGAATCTGTGGAACACTCACCTAGGGTCTTGTGGATTGGCCTCCCAATTGAATCTGTGGAACACTCACCTAGGGTCTTGTGGCTTGACCTCCCAATTGAATCTGTGGAACACTCACCTAGGGTCTTGTGGCTTGACCTCCCAATTGAATCTGTGGAACACTCACATAGGGTCTTGTGGCTTGACCTCCCAATTG